AATTAAGTATAATAGTTAATCGAATATGAAAAATAACATGTATTTAAATGAGAATAGTTGATCTTTCAAATATTTGATATATGATTTATACATTGTGTCTTGGCATATTTAATGTTTTTATAACGAGCTATGTACAAACGAAAATGGTGCATATGATCTGCTCAAAATTAAAGATGTACTTATTCAATATCTACAACAAATTTTGATCAAATCATAGCTAATTTGTAAATATTTTTATTTCAATCAGGGATAGAGAGAGTGTAATAGGTGGCTCCATAGGACGAAAATGAGTAAATTAGTATAATAGTTAATTGAGAATGAAATTTAGTGCACTTCTAATTGAGAATTGTTTTGTTCAAAAAAAAAATTGAGAATTGTTGACCGAGAGATCATGTGTTCGAATCTTGGCCCTCCAATAAAATATTAATTTCTACTACCAATACATAAAAATATGTTAGTACGCAGCAGCGTAGCCAGGATTTTGTCGAGGGTGGGTCCATTTAGAAAGAAGTACATACAATAAAATATTTTTAAATCATTCATGATATAATGTTTTATTAAAAAAAACTTGATAACTTAAATATATGTTGAAACTATCAAGAATATCACTCTATATGTATCAAAATATGATTTACGACTTAGATATACATTTGCTTTTGAATGGTGTTCTTTGTCAAGACTGTTTAGTATCAATAACTCGAGTTGTTGGTAAAGTTTTAATAATAAATTTTATAGCATTTAGTATTTACTAACACTTACCTGTTAACCAAAACCAACTTATACATGCTTAAAGTTTTCAGAAATTTGAATAACATGTGCTTAACAAATTGGAGCGCCAAGATTCGAACACATGATCTCTCGGTCAACAATTAAGTTCGCGTATATTCATGGTTGCGGGAGGATTAAATTGTATTTATGTGCTGCAATTCTTCAATCTTTGCTTTATATTTAATTTAGTTTCAGGGTAAATAAAATATGTTAGCCAAACCTTTCAAAATTTTCAAATTATTAGTCAAACCTATAAAAATATAAAATATTAGCCAATCTTTTATAACGCATCGAAATATTAGCCATTTGTCAGTTATTGTTTGTAATTTTGTAAATATTTTCTTAGTCAAAATACAAAAATTTTGGAATGTTAACCGCCACATGTCTCTTTGTCAGTATCATGTTGTCAAGTCAATTATTACTAACAAAACTGTTAACAGTAAGTTAAATTTTTACTAATATTTTGTATTTTGAAAGTTTGACTAATAATTTGAAAAGTTTGAAAGGTTTGGCTGATAAATTTTGGGTAGTGTCTATTTTTTATCCAAACCTTTTTCAAATTCTTTTATATTATCCAAACATATTATAATACTAAGAATAAACCAAATGTTAACTTCCAATTAGCAATTTTGTTAGTAATATTGACTTGGCAACATGATACTGACTTGGAAGATACACATGAAGGTCAATATTCCAAAATTTTAGTATTTTAACTAAGAAAAGAGTTACAAAATTATTAACGATAACATAAAAATGACTAATGTTTTGACGCATTACAAAAAATTTGCCTAATTAATAGCAATTTTAATAGGTTTGGATAATATTAAAGAATCTTAAAAAGATTTGCATAAAAGATAGATATTATCCATAAATTTTATTTATCCTTAATTTTACTACCAGTATAATATACATGGTTATATATGCCAAGATTTTTATTTTAGAAAAAGCTAATCCATATTTCTTTAATCACACACTAAAAGAATCAAAATTTATATTATTACAGATTTAGTGAGTTAATCTGATATCTAAAACAAAACAAAAATTGTTTCACTGTTGTTATAATTGAATATGAGTCAACATGCAATCCAAGTTGATATCTAATCTCACAACTTAAAAGAGGAGCAGGATTCTTCAACAGATGGTTTCGAAAAAGTGGATGCAAATCAATCCCAAGACATATTATTCTTTGGCCAAGTATGATAGTTATCGACTTAAAGTGTAAACTAACAACAACCACGTGAATTCAACTCAATGATTTGATTTTTGATTTTTTTTTTAATATTCCTACTTTTTTTCTTCAAAATAATAATATTTGAGTGCAAATTCTCAAAGGGAAAATCAAGGACTTTCACCCCCTGTTACATGACTAGAGAGTTTACACACTATTAAGACTTTATGCCAGTATGACAACAAGAGGTTATAGGCCAATTCTAAACAAATTGGTCATCAAGTTTGAATCAAATATAGAAGCTGAAGCATGCGATGATATTTCAGCCATACCAGCTTGCAAATTTAATTTCATTTAACAAGCAGTGCAACCAAAATAAATTTCTTTCAGGTTCTAATTACTATTCTCAATTCAAGTTTACTTCAATTTAATGTGTGTACAACCAAAAACATTGATAATTTTTTAAAAATTTCCATTCCACGAATGTTGTTGGTTAGTTTCAATATTCGGGTTTATTGACATCTAACACTCACTGGAAAAATTACCTGCGAGGAGGCTCCGACTAAAACTTCTCAAGTATTTATTTCCTTTTTCAGTTTTAAAATAACATGCATTACTTTAACACTAATAGCAAAAGGGTGTTGGGGATTGGTTCTCAAGATAATTCTCTTTGGTACTATAGTTACCCAATTAAATGTCATCCTTGCAAATGTGGGTAACTGCCCTCTCATCCTGGTCATTACATCATTACATGTTGTTTCATACAACAATAAGGAAACATCTTTATTACTCTGTCATTATAAATCAAACCATTTGCAAATAAATATGACATTTAATTAAACGATCAACAAATTTGCAAGCGAGAAAACCTTCTCCTCATTTGGAGCGACTTTGCTATTGGAAAATCCAATTCTTCCGGAATCATTATTTTTGGGGAAAGGTGAAATTCATGACAATTTCATCACTGTATTTGGTTGCCCGTTATAAGTTTGAAGTTTCAAATAGAAAAATGAATTAATTATCCTCCTTTAGTAAGCCATTTTCGACCCAAAAAATTACTACCAGATTCATTACTACTTAGATTAGTAGCGGTTTTGCCTGAAGGTAGTGATTTTACTGTTGGTCATAATGATTTAAGTATATTTCAATCAATATTTAGGGCTGATATTAGTGTTTTTATAGTGACCAGTAGTGATTTTCATATAACCATTAACGATTTTTAATAAGAAAAACTACAAAAAGTTATAAAAAAGTGCTACCAATAAAAAATGTTACGAGGGTACAATACAAACCACTACTAATATTTTATTAAAAAAACACTGCACATTATAATAAGAATCACTACTAATATGCTACTACATACAAATTTCTACTAATATAAAACTACTAAGTGCTAAATACTGCAGCGTGGCTCAAGTTAGGGTGCATAACCATGAGTTATGCACCCATCAATAACCAAATCTGGACTCTTCATTTAGAAAATCCAGATCTAAGGATGGAGAATTAAAAGTCATTTTTATTTTCACTAGCTTTCTTAATTGACTCATATTTTTTTCGTTTTTAATTTTTTTTGCACAGATGGAACGAGTTCATCGTGCTCTACAAAATGAGATCAATTTTTAATATTTTTTGAGGAAAAAAAATTATGGCCTCTCGGTACCAACTGCATACCATATGGTATCTTCTTCGTTTTTAATTCGTTTTTGAAAACGTTTGCACAGCAGGGACGAGTTCATCATGATCTATTGGATCTACAAATTTCTGTGTGAACAAATTACAAGACAAAAAAAAAATACCACACAATACCATACAATACCACCCTGGTACGGGGTGGTATCTTATGGTATACAATGTTAAAATTCGTAAATGACAATTAATATACTTCTACTATCATGTATTCAACCATCCTACAGTTTTGGTTTGTGTCATACCACCATGGTACGCTTTTCAAACCATATGTATGCTCTTATTTCAATACCAGTCAATACCATATGGTATAGACTGGTATAAAATGGCTCAATTTTTTTTGTTCGAAAAATATATCAAAGTGGATATCATTTTGAAGAGCACAATTAATCTGATCTAATTGTGCAAAAAAAATTAAATTTCGACTTAAAACGAGTGAGAAATCGTCCGTCAAAGATTAAGGAGGGGAAAATTAAAGGCTTTCCAGGAGAGAGAGGATGCTGATGTCATGCTGATGTTAGCGGGTTACTCATAGTTACTCACCATAAGGTTACTGACCTGATCCATTCCCCTGCAGCGTGCACATATAAGCATTTTTCCTCCTCGGCATGCACGATCCCAGTCGGCTCACCCCAACGGCCCAACATGCCATTGCTCGCCGTCAAAGAACACTTCAGCCCGCCCCAGCAAGCCATCCCCTGCCTCCGCTATATCGCAAAGACAAAAAAAAAATTATTTCTGAAAATATGTGGTCCCCTGCAACTTCCTGTCAAACAATCAAGAACACAAGTGGTTAGTTCGCTGACATGGTATCAAAGTTTAGAACCGAAAGGTTATGATTTCGAATCCTCATGACGACCCTCAATTTAAAAACAATGGTTTAGTACAAAGAATGGCATGTCCAACATGTACAAACTGAAAGCCGAATGGGTTTGGCAGCACAAGGAATGATTGTTCAACCTGTGCAAACAGTATAAGAAAACCTGGGGTTTCGTGAGATCAAGAGGGAAATCTTCGACGCCGCCTGTGAATTCTGCAATCTCCTCGTCGGGTTGTGGGAATGAGTGTTTAACCCGGAGCCTGGCAGCGGCCAAGAACTCGTCGACGATAGGATGCGGCGGGTGTTGGTGAAGATTTGTTGTCTTGGTTAAATGATGTGCTTTCCCCCATCGCCTCAATTTCCTATCGATAAATACTAGTTTTTAACCAAACCTTTTTTCCATTTCAAAATATTAGCCAAAATTATCGAAATATGAAAACGTAGCCAAATTACATAATAATAGCCATTTCTCGTTAGATTTAACGGCAGAACTAACAGAAGTACACCTAATGGACACCTCAGTTCACTTGTACCGCCACATCACCCAAATAAATAAATAAGTAAATACATATGTTTATATTTTTAATTTATATTTTAGGAAAAATGCTAAATCCTTCTCCCTCCTCTTTTCTTCTTCCTTCTACATGACAGCCGCCACCCACACCTTCTCCTTCCCCTTCATCATCTCTGCCAGCGCCCCCACCCGCAGCCCCTCTGCCTCCTCCATCCCCTGCTTCTCGATCCCGAACTGCTCCGCCAGCACCTTCCACAGCTGCTTCCACTTGAACACATCCCCGTTCATCACATTAAACGCCTCGTCCTTCTTGTTCGGGTTCACCGTCGCCCAGATCTGGTGCTCCGCCACCAGATCCACGTCTAACGCAGTCGGTTACCCCTGGCGGCGTACGCGCACAAGGATCCGATCACGTTCATCAAACTGTACGGCGAGAACCCCTGGCCTGGGCGGTGGACGGACCATGTCAGCGGCCGACCCTGCTTCCTCGTCGTCGTCTCCCCGAACAACAGGTCCTCCAGGGAGTAGTAGAAATTTGCGGATCTCAATCAGGGGCAGGTCTTCGGTGAAAGGAACTTCTAGTAATTGGTCTGAGGTGCAGCGACATCTGCGCCGGATTTCTTATGCAAAAAGAAAAAAAGAGGGGAAATCGTGAGATTGGAGAATGGGTTAGAAGCGATGGCGGTTGAGATGGGATTGAATGGTTGGTGATTAATTTACCCTGGTAACGCCGATGGCACCTTCCCACCACCAGCTTATGTTGTTCCTTGGTTTTGGATGGAGAAAAGAAATCAAGAAGCGGAAAATGAAAAGATGAACTAAAAGATTACTTATTTGTCATCCTATTCACTGCCATGTTATCATTTTTTCCAACTCAGCATTGCATTTGCCAACTTAGTCTTGACTAACGAAAATTTTAACAGAAACTTAAGTACTTAACAGTTGGCTAATATTTCGTATTTTGAAAGGTTTGGCTAATATTTTGAAATGGGGAAAATGTTTGGCTAAAAAATAGTATTTACCCATTTCCTATTTTCCGAGGTTAAAGGTAGGCGTTTTGAAAGGATTCAATTATTAGAAATGAAAAGAATCGTCAATCGCTTATATGATGTGGATCATGTGGTCGTCCTGATGATGATGAAAAGGTTGATGTTTGAAAAGAAACAGGTTGATCGCATTGTGGAGAGCTCAACCTGTTACGGTTAATTAAGATATCTTCATATCTCAAGACAATATCGCAGAGAGTGCTACAAAGATAATGAACCCTCACGATTTTACCTCAAAGGTCGACCGGTTAACTAGAGTGGTCGACCTATTGATCTAGGTACGGTTATTGCACTAACAACTATCTTTAATATTATCATATATTTTCTTCTTGAACGAACTATAAAGCCATAAGAAAGTTGTTTACGCGCTTTTTAGAGTGATAAACTAATTAATAACACATGTGGTTGTTCGTACATATTGATGTCGCTATTAACTCAGTTAAGTGGTAACAAAGTTCATTTGTAGTATTGAAACATTTATTGTCACGGAATCACGTTTCAACAGTGATGATAAGGTAATGGCAAAACCGATTGACCATCTTGCTTTTTTTTATCAACTTTATTTTCGTTTACGATGATGCGGTTGTCTCAATAGACCGTTTTCATTTCTTCTTGAAAGATCCCTGCTCCTTTCATTTCTTCTTCCGTGTACTGTCCTATATAAGAGAAACAGTCGGCCCAACTCCGTTCAGTCTCTTTCCCCACATCCATGGCAGCTGCATCAATGTAATTTCGAGCTTAATTACGTCCCATCCACTCTTGTTTTTCCTGCAGAAAAATGTGCAGAGCTTGGCTGCTTGGGATGAAGTTTTCTGGTTTGATGGACTATATATCGACCCACTCAGATTCTTGGGCTTGGGCTTGGGCCTTGACCTTTACTGTCCACCATTCAGAAGGGCACAGCTCTTTGTTCCATCCCACCAGGACTTATCCACCATGCGCAACACTTGTACTCTCACGTTCTTCTCCCACTCCTGCAAGCAAGTCACAAATCGGGGGATTACTTCCTCGTCGGCCCAATTGTTTATTTGGGCTGGGGAGGGGTTTGGGAAGTCCAGGCTTACCAGTAAGTGAGCAAGCATGGATACGATTTTGTCCATCTCTTGTAATCTCTCGTTTTGGTTCTCTACGCTGCTTGTTAGCTCCGTTAACAAGTACAGATTTCTCTCCAACTGTACCCAACGTGTAGTAAAAAATAATTAGTAACAACACTAATCAATTATTGATTACGAATAATAATACAAACATTAATCATCAGTGATTAACTGACCTGTGAGAAGAATTTGCTTAGCAGCTCTTGTATACCATCCATCACTCCCATTGCCTTACTTAAAGCTTCCCCTACCGACTCCACGTCGCCCTGTTCCCAACAACCATATAATAATTGTTTATTTTCTTAGGTTGGTAAATGGTAATTTTTTGCGGAATCAAAATTGATGGTTAACGGTTACATCGATAACTGATTAAACAGTAAACGATCGGTTCCTGATAATCAAAATCTAGCTAATTACTGACTGACGTTTAAGCCCTTAACTGAGTAACCAATTACGGTTATCCTCATAGTTAGGGCAGAAAATAATTGGTCTCGCTGAGTCACATACATAGGCCAAAATAATGAGATATTTAAAGGCCTACAAAATTTATTGTCAAACCTAGTTGTAATAGTGGCTTAGGTTCAAATGATAATAATTTCAATGAAAGGCTTTAGAAGAAGCACAATAAAAGGTTGGACTTTCACATAAAAGTTTGACAATAATTAGTAACATTTTAGATTTCATGTAATTTGGTGGGGTTATGAATTGAGTAATTGTTAATGACTCTCTTATTATTATCTGCTTCTTTAATAAAATTTGACGGTTGAATGATATTACTATGTACTTGTGTCGGATTTAGATGATTATGGATTTATATGTATATTAAATTATTTTATTTTCAATGATAGCAACTTAAAAATGAACCCATACGTATGCAACAAAAAACTATGAAAATGTAGGAACCTTCTGTTAGTTAGGTTTCCGATAGGTTATTTTGTTACAACCTTGTCTAGGGGTGTGCAATGGTGCGGTCCTACCCGAACCGAACCGGACCGAACCGGCTCCAAAACCGAGCCGAGCCGGACCGTTGCGTTTTAGGTCCGGGCCTTGGTCCACCTTATTGAGGAATTTCGGTCTCTGGTCCGGTCCAGACCGAAACCGAGAAAATGCCTCCAAAACCGGACCGGACCGTACACTATAATTTCCTTGTATAATTGTATTCCTAATCAATCAGTAATCACTTCCGGCCTTCGGCCTGCCCTACCTACCTTGTATAAATTATTAAATTATAACATATAATAACTACGAGTCTACGATAGTAGTCGAGCCGTCATAGTCAATAGCAAACACTGACCTCTCGAGCCTATCCTAAGCGAAAGCAAACACATAAAGCCGCCGTCCGCCGTTGTCATTAGTCCGTCTTCTGTCGTCAGTCGTCACTCACTATCGCCGGTCATCTCAAGACTCAAGTTAAGGACGCAAGGTAACCAAATAAATATTGCAATCCTGGAGTTTATGACTTGTGCCCTCTTATTCTATCACTTATATTCCCCACCATTGTCTTTCTTCCTTGTTCATAGGCCGCAGCTTCATGCTGAGTTGGTATGGTAACTCTGTATAGTTTATTAGTTTATATAAATAGAATTAAAATAAACTATATAAACGTTTAAACAATGCTTGAGTTATGGGTCAGGGACTCATGGCAACAGGAGAGGAAAGATAACAGAATGGTTTATTTGTTCTTGTCTTTAGTGAAAACACATGAATGAGCAGGGTGCTTTTAACTGCTTTGTATTGGTTTATTATTGTTATTTAACTGGTACTGTTCTTTCATGGATGACCGAAATACCTTATACATCACTCCAACATGCAGATGTCGGACAATTTACAGCATGTTGATCAAGCCCAGAATGTTTCACAAGCAAACCAGCCTGCTGAAACTGGTAGACAGGAAGCTGCGACTTTGGAAGGCACTCAAGCTCAAGGGCAAGAGGAGCCTGCTACAAGAAAAGTCAAGAAAAAGGGAAAGGCACCGCCTCTGAAATCTGATGTTTGGACCCAATTTAAGAAGTACCTTAATGAAAAAGGAGAAGTGAGAGCTAGCTGCAAATATTGTGGTAAAGATTATGCAGCGCATCCGGTTAATAACGGAACTTCTGCCATGAAGAAGCATATGAACCCCCCAAATGCTTGTAATGCTCAAACTAATGGTAATGGTAAGGACACTGCTCAACAACTGTTAAGTATAACGCCAAATGGTGCAGGTGATGCTAGTGTGGCAGGCTGGAAGTTTGATCAGTACAAAATAAGGAAGTCTCTTGCTCGCATGATTATTATGGATGAATTGCCATTCAAGTTTGTGGAGCATCTTGGATTCAAACTTTTTATGGCAGATGCTTGTCCTAGGTTTAATATGCCTTCCAGGTGGACTGTTTCAAGAGATTGCTTTGATTGGTATTTTGAGGAAAAGGAAAAACTCAAGATGCTTTTGAATAGCTCTACAGGTACTAGGAGGGTCAGTTTGACTACAGACACTTGGACTTCACTACAGAGAACTAATTATATGTGTCTTACGGCTCATTTTATTGATGATGATTGGAAGTTACAAAAGAGAATCATTAACTTTCGCTCAATCTTCAGTCATAAGGGTAAAGACATTGCAGAGTCTATTCAGACATGTTTGGTTGAATGGGGGATAGACAGTGTTTTTACTATTACGGTTGATAATGCAAGCTCGAATGACACTGGCGTTGGATATTTGAAAAGCATGTTTGTGAAACAAGGATCATGTGTGCTGGGTGGAAAATACATTCACATGCGTTGTGTAGCTCATATCATCAATCTGGTTGTGCAAGAGGGATTAAAAGAAATACACATTTCTATCAAAAGAGTTAGAGAAGCAGTTAGATATGTAAAGCAAACACCTTCTAGACTGCACAAGTTTCGTGAGTTTGCTTTGCTTCAAAGTTCAGACAGCAAAAGCGGTTTGTCTCTTGATGTGCCTACTCGTTGGAACTCAACGTATTTAATGTTAGAAGCAGCAGAGAAGTATGAAAAAGCTTTTGCATTATATTCAGTATCTGATTTGAATTTTAGTGCAGATCTGTTTCTGAAGGAGGATAAAAATGGAGTATTGATTGGAGCTCCTGGACCTACTGATTGGGCTAATGTGAGACGTATCCTCCCTTTTCTAAAGAAATTCTATGAGTTCACGATGAAGGTTTCTGGGTCCTTGTATGCCACATCAAACATATTTTTTGATGAAGTTTCTTCTCTTTATCGATTGCTCATGAAGTGGGAGAAGGATGAAGATACTGGTTTCTCTGAAATGGCATCAAGAATGAAGAAAAAGTATGAGACATATTGGGGAGACGTGGAGAAAATGAACAAACTGCTTTATGTTGCTGCTGTTCTGAATCCTATGTGCAAGTTCAAGTACGTTGAATTTGCTCTGACGAAGATATATCATGAGAATGGATTGGGGGAAAAACTTGCAGAGCAAGTGAATAAGGCTACATATGAGATTTTTGAGTACTATAGGAATCTGCTTGCAAGTAAAATGGGAGAAGACAACTCAAATGATAAAGGTTCATCTGGTAACATTAATGTAGATGATGATGAAGATGATTTGATGGCTGAGTTCAGGAGATGCAATAAACCAAAAGATGGGAGTATGAGTAGTAGCGAGTTAGATAAGTATTTAAAGGAGGAAGTCGAGGATGGTCCAATTGAGATTCTTTCATGGTGGAAGGCGAATAGTGTGAGATTTCCTATACTTGCTCATATGGCTAAGGATGTTCTAGCTTTTCCCGTATCCACAGTTTCATCGGAGTCTGCCTTTAGTACTGGAGGGCGCGTGATTGATGCTTTCAGGAGCTCATTGACTCCTAATCTAGTTGAGGTTCTCATTTGCACCCAGAATTGGCTTCGCACAGAGCTGCAGCCACTTTCTTTCGAAGAAGATGTTTCTGACGTGGAGAAAATGGAGGCTGGTGAGTGTTTCATGTGTTTGGTTCAATTTTGTATATCTAGCGCCACTGTTCCATTCTCATTTCTTAGATTTTACTTGTGTTGTTGTCCATTGTTCATTCATTAATAATGTCCTAATCTTTATTATTAAACTTATAGCTGTGCAGAAATTGAAGGACAATACTGGTGATGGTGTTATTAATTTAGACAAGGATGCCAATGGCAATGATGAACAAGGTGAAATAACTTTTATTTGGAATAATGAAATTATTTCTCCTTCTAGTTTGTTCTCCCTTGTACTATTATACAATTTAAAATTGCATATTTGTATTTTACAGGGTCAGGAAGAGGTTGATGTTCTCCAGGATGCACAAGATTTATCAAAAGGTGTTCTCATGGTGGAGAACTTGAGGCTGCAGATTTATGATCCAACAAAGACATTTTTAGATTTATGTAATTTGAATTTGACAATGGAGCGATTTATTTTCATTTTCGATGAACATAGTTGGATGATTGATATTGTTTTTAGGGAGGTGACTGCCTAATTGGTGAAATATTTTGTTAACTAGGTTTATCATTAAAGTTGGTGAAAGTTGCTCAATGTGGGGGTTAGTTTTATGCAAGACTAGTGGCCAACTGGCCATTATTATTAATGGTCATTTTTACATTTAGGTAGCAGCAGACAGCATTTCGAGTGGCCGAGCGCCATAGCAATTTTGGATGGAGGACGGTTCGTGGTTTGGTCCGGACCGTACCGGACCATGTACGGTTCGGTCCGACCCGACCCGGCCAAGCATTTGGTCCGGGCCATGGTCCACAACCTATGCTTGTTTTCGGTCCGGTCCTCTCGCGGGTCGGTCCGGTTTTAGACCGAACCGGACCACTGCACACCCCTAACCTTGTCGAATCACTTGCTTAACGTTTATCCAGTAAACCGATAGAATAATCGAGAACCGACTATACAGTTACGATTAAATGTCTGATAAAAATGGTGTGGTTAACAGTAAGCGTAAAAGTGCTTAATGCAGTGGCGGATCCAGGGGGCGCCCCAGGGCCACATCACAGCCCTCCGCTGGATTCAAAGCTAGTATAGCACTGGTAAATTTTTCGAATTTAGGTAATCGTTTCATTGTTCGTTGGGTTACGGCTCAACCATTTTCGCCTCTTTTCAAATGTGGCCCAGTGCTCTATTCTTTTCTCGATCAGCCGCTGGCTTAATAGTTAATCGAGATCCGACTAAAAAATTATGATTGTAATGATGTAATCTAACCATACCGATTGCCAACCATAACTTTTTAAATAATTTATATCACAAATTTTTAATTTAATATAAATGCAGTTGACCTGATGCTTAGTCAACCGTTATGGTAGTTTGAACTTTGAAGAAGAAAGAAAAAACTATGGTGGTGCGTAGCGTACCTTGACGTCGTCATGCAAAGGAAGCTTGAGAGACAAGGCGGAGAGCTTCCGGGCCACCCGGCTCACCGCCTCGACGTTTTTGCCCTCCATTTTCCCCCACTCGCTCAGCAGGCCCAGCTGCGGGCCCAGCACCCAGCCCAGTTTCAGCCCATGCTCCAGCCTCTGAATCTCGAGCCGTTTCTCCAATACGCCCTTCCGCTTCTCCGCCACCTTCAGCCACACGTGGACGATTTTCCCGCTCGCGGCTCGGCTCCGCGCCGCCATCACGGCCTCGGCTCGAGCGTTGGCGTATCTCCACTGAACCAGCCTGCTGTTCAGAACCCTAAACCCGTGGCGATCCTCGTCTTTCGCGGACGAGCCCTTCTTCTGCCGGAAGTAATTCAAAACCCCGCTCACCATCCCCACGCCTCCACTGGCGCGTCTCTTTTTCACTCCCGGCGATTCCGGCGGCGGCGGTGGCTGCGGCGCCCGGAAGTTATTGGGCCTTCCGGGGGATAAAGCCCATGCAGAAGGAGATATCCGGCCCAGCTTAGTATTGGGCCTGGTTGAGCTGGTGATGTAGTTACGTGGGCCGTCCCCGCGCTGGACGAACCTGACGAGCCCATCTCGACTCCCGCCACCGGCGGGACTCACATCTCCGCCGCGGCCGTGCTTCCTCCGGCAGGTGGACGGCAGCGATGACGTGGAGGTGTTCAGGCTGGTCTCGAATTTCGGGTCTCGGGATCTGGTGGTGGATCTCGATCGGTTTGCGGCGTTGAGCCGCTGCTGGGACTCGGCGTTGTTGATTTCGGCACCGCTCTTGCTGCGGACGAGGCGGCCGGCCGGCGAGGGAGAGTGGTGGGGAGTTTGGGTGGCCGGAGGAGGGTGGTGGCGTTGCCGGCAGCGGGAGGAAGCGCGGTGTTCCATGTTTTTTTTTTTTTTTTTAAGTTTCTGGATGTTGTTTGTTTGTTCTAATTAACGGGATTGGGAATTTTTGAGTTGGCTGTTAAATATAGATGGGCCGGGTTTTGGAGGAGGAGGAGTTGATGATGGCACGTTGGGGTTGGTCGAGTCGTCGCCATGAGAATTTTGCGTCAAGCTCTCCACGAAGATGAGAGCGACAAATAATAGTAGTAATAGTTTGTCGTGTTTCGACTTTCAACCACCGGAACGGAACGGTCTGTCTCAGAATATTGGGTGGGTTTGGGGGGAGGGGTTGACCTTTTTTTGTTATGCGGTGTACTGTATGACATGCATAATGAACTATATGGGCCCGCCGGGGCTCCCACAGTTGTAACTTGTAATAAGTGTAACCAAGAGAATGTTTACTCAAGAAGACATTTGAGCGTAGATGGTGAAATGTCAGGCTGGTTGAATTTGGAATTCAATTTGGTGTTAGTCGTAAAATGAGTATCAATACTAATATTAATATATTATGATCGATAATTTGGTGTGATCGATTTATGACCTGATGCAGTACTCGAAACTACCTGTCATCTTGTTATGATATAAATATCTTATGTTTATTTAATTAATATTTATTTAATAAATATACTTAAAACTAATAATATCTAAATAATTCATTCATAGATAAAAAAAACTACTAATACAATCATTTTTTGGGTACTCCTACGGTGACATGCATGTCACGGTGACTTGCACTTTTCGGTCGGCCTCAGTTAGGATTAGGTCGACCTCATTTAGGATTAGGTCGACCTAATCTGTTGTTCCAGTGTAAAAACAATTTCATGGTGTCTACTTTGAATATTCATATCATACAATTGGCTAGATGGAAATTGAAGATTAACGGCTTGTTTTGAAGTTGGAGTGTCCCTCTACATATTGAAGTGATTGAGAGCTCGATAGGAAGTCCAGAAGACCATTGGATCAAAAGGCTATGCCAAAACTGGGAAACTGTCTGAAAATGGCTAAGTCTGGAAACGTGTTTGTGAAGTCTACTTTGGAGCTCAATTCGAGAAGCATGAATGCGAGTTGAGTTCAGGGGCCTCTACCACGTTAAATTAGGTATGTTTTTATACAAATTCAAGGCATTGGATGAATGATTGGATATCTGTAAGGCTTCAAATAAAATGGTCGAAGTTGCTACGAATGCTATTTTCTGGCAAACTTCGAGCACAAGCAAGCTGCCAGAAAAACAACATTGATGCTTCTCAAATTGAGCTCCAAAGTAGGCTTCACAAACACGTTTCAAGACTTGGCCATTTTTCAGGCAGTTTCCCAGTTTTGGCATAGCCTTTTGATCAGGTTCAAAAATGGTCTTCTGAACTTCCTGTCGAGCACCAAAGTACTTTAATGTGTAGAGGGACACTTCAGCTTCAAAACAAGCCATTAATCTCCAATTTCCATCTAGCCATTTGTAAGATATGAATATCCAAAGTAGGCACCATGAAACTGTTTTTACACTGAAACAACAGATTAGGTCGACCGAAGAGTGCATGTCACCATGGCACAGAGGCGGAGGCAAGGGTGTTTGCCCTTGTCCCGGGACAGGGGTAACTTTTCGGGTGGGGAAAAATAACCCCACATATATTTGTATGGATCAAATTAAATACTTACAAGTAAGTAGTAACATAAGAATGTTTTGACACCAAATCATAACTTATTACTTGTTCACTAATTCACAAAAAATAATTAATTTATTGATTTTATTCAATGACACTATTATTCGACAACAACTTGTTAGGTATTATCACTAGGGCTGGAAGTTTGGTACCGGTATTTGGGATATACCGAATACCGTACGGAATTTGTCTATATTTGGTATTACCGAATACACGTATTATTTCTTGGGATTGGGATTGAATTTCAATTGTAATTCGGTATTAGGGATTACGGGATTGAGATCGGTATATACCGAAATATAAGCTAATGTGTATTTTATCCTGTCAACTAGACTCTCTCATTCACTACTACACAACCCTCAACCACCAAGAGTGTCATTTAAGTATACATAGATCATTTCATCATTGTTTCACAACTCAAAAGTCAACATCCAACTCAATTTTGACTTTACAATTTAAGTCACTCTCATCTCTCCTAATAACTTGATATTTTCATAACACCAAAAAGCAAACACTTGTATTAGTCGACTCTCAGCCTTCAATTCATCAAATTAAAGATTACCAATGATAAGAACTTGAGATGTCACCTCTCCTTCATTCTCCTTATCCATATCCTAGCTCTAGGAAAACTCAAAACTCTTTGCTTAGTCTTTTTGCCCTAAATTAAACAATCAAATATAATTTCTATATTTAATTATTTATTTCAAATATAATTAATTTCGTATTCGATAATACCGATTGGGATACCGAAGTATCGATTGGGATACCAGAATATTTAGGGATTGGGATTGGGATACCGAAATTATTTAGGGATTGGGATTGGGATTGACTTTCGGGTATAATTCGATATTCAGAATTTCGGTATTCGGGATTGTGATACCGATACCATACCGATTTCCACCCCTAATTATCACGATATTATGGCTGATGAGAGATTTGTTGGGTTCAAAAGAATTAATGAATGATCTCGAGTAATGGTGGAGACAAAAGTGCATCAGTTATATTCGTAAGTTTATTTGCTTCTGAAACACGTTTTTATTCTACCAGTTGCAACTGTAAATGTAGATAGAGCATTTTTAGATTGAGCTATATTAAGAACAAACTTTAAAGTCGAATTGGCAATGAGTTTGTTAACGATTATTTTATGGGATACATTGTAAACGACTCACTTAAGAGTGTAAACAATGAATGTATTTTGCATTTCTTTCATTATATGAAAACTCGTCGTCGTTATTTATGCACACAATAAATGTATTAGTTAGTTTTTTGTTTCTCTATGAATGAATTATTTGGGTATTATTAATTTAATTATATTTATTAAATTTTAAATTTATATGTTTGTATTCTAAATAGAGGACAAGGGTAGTTTCAAATCCTGCATCCGCCACTGCCGTGACATGACATGCATGTCACCGTAGCAAAGTCCTCATTTTTTTCATAAACAACCATGACGGGATTCCATATTGTGAAAGAAAAGCAAAAACAATCGTCGTCTATAGTCTGCACTATTAGGTAAGTCTCTTTCAATGTATACCACTCAACAATCATTAGTAATTTGATCGTCAATTCGACTTTGAAACTTGTTCTCAATATAACAGAAAATATTCTTTCTACCCTTGTTGTTACA